GATGTTACGCTCATCAAGAGCTTTCATTTGAGTACCCACATGCATTTTTATATATTTTTCATGTATACATATATATCATATATATAAAATATATGAAAAATTGATGTGGGTACTCAAATGAAAGGTCTTGATGAGTGTAACATCAAGATGAGCTTATATCTTCAAAAATGTCAATAGTTCACAAGATACAAGGTCATTTCTTAATATAGATAATTAATTAAAAATAATTTTATAATTATTTTGTTACGAAATTATTGATATCATATTTTTTTACACTGAAAAAAAAAATTTTAATTAAAGAAGAAAATTCTTGAATTGAGAAAAATTTTTCAGATAAAAATTACTTAAATTAAGTTAATTTTTTTTTTTGTCTATATGTAATTATTTTATATTATTAATGAAGACTATTTTTAAGTTAAAAATTTATAATAATAAATTTTTAACATAAATGTCTAAAAATAAATTTTGAACAAAAATTTAGGAGCAAGATTAATAAAAAACCATCAACATGGTCGTTTATTACTAATGAGGGACAGAAGGAACCCTATTGCATCATACAATCCATCACGAGCGATGATGCTGACCGGTTTCTACCGGCCGATACGATACTCAACTGGTAGTCAGGCGACTGGCGTATTTGCACAGGGTAATGCGGTTAGCGGCGGATATCTTGCAGGAACCCACAGCCGAAATTATCTACCGCGTGCTCCAGAACCTGTTGCTCAACCTCATGTTTTGAGTGCAGAGGCTGAGGCGGAGGCTGCGAGAGAACCAGAACCAGAACAACAAGGTACACCGGTCTACGGTAATCAAGAGGACGTCGGTTATCCTGCGAGCCAGAGTGACCAAGAGCTGGGAAGCGAGCCTGAAACTCAATTGGTTTACTTTAATTTATCATTTTTTTATTCCTTACTATTATTTCATCCATTAATTTAATTAATCTTGCAGAAAGATGAAAATGAAGGATTACCTGAAACTCCATTTCAAGAAGAGGAGCAGGAAGATGAAAAAGTGTCGAAGCCAGTGTCGGTAAATCCTCAAGGGAATAAAACCAAGAAGACTACAGTTAACGTTGCAACTGATGAAGAGGAAGATGAAGAAGAAGATGATGATGATACCTTCAAGCCCTATTTGCCTTCTAAGTCAAACAAGGGCGTTCCTAATTTAACTAATTTCTTCCCGATGATGTTCAGTTTTCCCAGATCTGCTGGAAAAAGCGGAAGTTCTTCTGGCTCGGGGATGATCACTGCTATTGCTAATAGTTATTCCACTGGCAAGAGTGGAATTGCTAGTTCTATTGCGACTGCCTACGGCGGGTCTCCTAATGGGTAAGAAATATTAAAAATTAGTTTAATTATTAAGAATCCTGAAAAAAATAGACCCGGAAAAAATTTTTAAAGTTTTGAAAAATTAATATTATTTCATTAAAATTATCATAAAATAAAAAAAGGCCATTCGGCAACTGGAATGGAAGTAGATTTCATAATAAATATAAAAAAAACGAGCAAGATTGTATACAAAAAAAAAAAAAACAATGACATCAAAACAAATGCAAAAGTAAAATTTCATTAAATTTGTCTGAGAAAATCGGTAATTCTGGGACTAGACTGATAATGAGGTATACAAATTAAAGCTTACTTAATAAGCTTTCAGATGCAATTTACAGAAATTTGATGAGACGTCGCGTTCAATTGTTATCGCACTGAAATACGGAAAAAGTGAAAATTTTTGTAATTTTCAATAATTTTTGAATAAACTATTTAATTTAGAAAAATAGATAAGTATGCAAATTAAAGCTTATTAAATAAGCTTTTAGATGCAATTCAGAGAAATTAAATATGATATCTCGTTTAATTGTTAATGCACAAAAATACGGTAAAAGTGCAAATTTTTGTAATTTTTGAAAATTTTTAAATCGCTCCCATTTTTTAACTAATCGACCGATTTCGCTCATCTTCGAACTTAACCTGGGATATAGTCCTAAGAATGAGTATGTTACGTTTTATTAAGATTCGGACAGAATTGCGGGAGTTAGAGAAAAGACAAGGCCGGTTGAGTCAAAATATAGCAAAATTTTTCAAAAGTTTCGTCATGAGGACCAACGCAATAGTTAGATTTCTATGAAATCTACTAATTATAATAATCATAATAATATTTTTTTTTTGTAACAAAAAATGGAGCGATCATTCTGGGGGTGGTTGTTTTTCAGGAAAATTGTGAGGGTAGATATTATAATTTTTATATTATAATAATTTTAATGAAATAATATGAATTTTTCATAATTTAAAAATTTATTTCGGGTCTATTTTTTCCGATTACCAATTATTTAAAATTGATTATTTTAATTATAATAAATTAATTGTAGAAAGAAGAAACGCAATCAGAGTCAAGAATAAGAAGAAATCAAAGGTTCAAATATTCTGAAATATTTATCAGAAGTAATGTATACGATGTATTTCTAAGTATAAAGTTTAATAATGGTACAATAAAGAAACTGGGAAAATCCTGAAAATTTATTTGTTTATTTAGTTAATTTAAAGCTGATACCGGATTCCTTTTTACATTTATTTTAAAGTTTGGCTGTTGAGAAAGAGTTGAGGGTCAAGAGAGTGGAACAAGGACGCCAGTTAAATACTTTGTCTCTATCGAAAGTTTCTATGACGCATACGGACATGCAAATTAGCCTCAGGGAATCCCGAAGATGTTTTAAGAAAATAAAAATGTGTTTGATTTTTTTACTCAGAAGATTGTTGACTTACAATTAGATTCAATTTATTTAAGTATTTAAAATATATATAGAATTTATTAATACTCAGGATTTACGATGAAAATTTCAAGGAATCAATTATAGTAATTGTAAAAAAAATATTATAGTTCATTTAAATACATTTAAAAAAATCCTGAAGTTTTAACCGTGTAAAATATCAATCCAGGAAATCAATAAATCAAAACCGTAATGTCATAATTGAAAAAACAAATATGGAATATATAATATTTGGCAAAAGTTATCTTTCTGATCGTAGTTTAGGAATTAGTTAACATTTATCGAGCCGGATCGTTAAATCTGAAGTGAGAACAAGAAAAAGTCCTTGAAGGACTACTAAAAGTCAAACTCGAGCCGGAAACAATTAATAGTTTTTTTTCTTTCTTTTGATTTGAAAAGACGCAACACTTTCTAGTTAATAATATACATAAATACCTGCGGTTTTAAATTAACAGCGGCTATATTTGATATTATATTAAATGTTTACACATTGGAAGGTCGCCGGGATATCCCAACGCCGGACGGTCAAGAGATGGCTGATGGCCCTCGTATATATAAGACACCTTTGTAAGGTTGAACATCAGTCGAGATTGTGATTCGTAAGATCACCAAACAGCAAACTGAACTAGATTTTTCATTTAATAAAATTTAAATAGTTAATTACTTAGAAAAATGAATAAACTTGCTGTTTTGTTCTTCGCTGCCGCGGTCTGCGTTTGCTGCGTTTCTGCCTTCCCATCGTCACTTCCAAATGGTAATTATAATTACAATTACATTAATTTACTTTTATGATAATTTGTTATTTTCTTAATTTTTTTTTTCAATTTATTTAAGGCGGCTATGTGAGAGTTGTAAGGGCAGCATTGCCCGATCCTGATCCTCGTCACCACGGTCATTACAGTCAATACCGTCCTCAGAGTTACGGCGGCGACTACTACAGTGGCTACGACAATTATGATAATTATGGCCACGGTGGTTACAATCAGGGCTACGGTGGTTACGGTAATAATTATAATCCTTACCAAAATAATGGATATTCATCTAATTCTGCTGCTAACGCTGCGTCATTTAGCTCTCCATGGGGAAGTGGTGCATTCGCCAACGCAAATTCAGCATCTGGGTAGTTATTTTTGTTTTCATAGTTCATTTTATTCATGTCTTCATTCGTAATTTATGGGATATGCAACTAAATCCATTTTTGTTTTCTTCTTTGCAGATCGGGAGGCGGATTATTTTATTGATATCTAGAAAAAGAAATCTTTTGAAATTATTCATTTTTCACTTTTGTAAAACTATAATTATAATAATAATAATAATATAATTTTGTACTTTTTTTGTAACTAATAAAAGAGTAATTATGTTAATGAGCGTAGTATTTTTATCATTATTAATATTAAGGAGTTATACGTATTCAGAATTTGTGAACAACTTTTGTTAAAAATAATTTTTTATAGGACTTATAATTTTGCTATAATATCAAAAATTTGAACCATTCAACTAATTATGTTATTTTTAATTTGTGGCAAAAATCTTGGCGCTAGTAATGATTGATTAACCAAAAAATTAATGAATCACTTCTAACAGAATTGATTAATTAAGGGTTTATATATACTTGGAATTTTTAAAATATAAATTTTTTTTATGTTTTTAATATACATATATTTAGTATCTTCATAGAAAATTTAATTTTAATTAGACAAGTATTTTCAAAGTTATAAGGATTTTTGTAAAGCCTTCTCGGAGCGTGTCGCATAAAATGGGGCTGAGGTTGAAAACTTGTAAATGTTTTTTTCTCACAACTGTATTTTTAAAATCGGTGAACAAGATTTATCAAAAACGACTGATAAAATCAATCTCTAAATTTTAAGCAATTTTTTTGACTATATTTTCCAGTAATTGATCCAAGGATTAATAATTCCGAATATATTTTGTATTTTTATCAACAATTTAAGGTTTAAAATTTTCATCGAAAATCGTGGATTTTTTTTGTCAACCCGCTAATTTGTTAAAAATAGATATTTTGATCATTCCTTTGACCGATCGCTAGATAATATTTTATATTAGTAGAATTTTTTTGGATTTTTGAATTTCGATGATTCAAACCGAAGATATCGTGCTCACTGCAAGTAACCTTTTTTTAGAGGACCTTCCGAAAATCGTCTACAGGAGCTAGAAAAATCATAATTTGTCAAAAAAAAAAAAACTTATTACTAAAGTTTAAAATCACTAATATATGTAAATCAATTTTCATGTTAATCAATAATTAAAAAATCGCTTTTTTCAGCCTTCTGGGACCGTATAACTTCTTAACTTTACAATTTTTTCCCTTACCTAAAAATATAACTTTATATCAGTTAAAAACTTTATTCGTTTTCTTCAACTAAAAGTACGTCGAAAAAAAATCCAGTCTATTTAAGTTTGCGAAAGTCAATTATTTATTTTCTTAGCATCTTATTTCGCTTGTCTCGTCCCTATAAATCCTCCTACTAAAATAGACTAAATTTTCCAAAATCTAAAAAATAAAAATAACTTACTAATAAAGTTAAAAATCATTAACATCCAATTTCATATTCATCAATTAGAAAGTCATTTCTTCCTCATCTTATTTTTCCCTTAATCTTCTCAAGCCAATACTGAACCAAAGTAACCTTTTCAATAACCCAAAAGTTACAATCAATTATTTTTTATAATTAACATCACAATGCATTACCCAGCCATCAGTAACCCGTAAAAATTCTTAAATAATTCTCAATCTTACCTGTCGACCCTTGCACGAACTCCAAGATCACGCAACGCGCCACTTATTTTTTTACTACAACAAAAAATTTGATTCTATTACTATTTACATACACACTAAAACATAATAGTTACTTTTATTACATAATTGCTGTTCAAATACCGCTCCAAATTATAATCAGGAAAATGTAATAACCGATATGAAACAAATATCCGGATGTATACTTACAATAAAATAATCATTTTACCCAGTTAAGTTTATATTACTTCCATAACTATGAGTATTAGTATCAGTATTACATAGTAGTTGGTAATGTAACTAAAGTACGAAGATGTTTGATCGATGCTATCAGGTTGCTACCAACGACCGAGTGTTTCTTCGGGATTACTGGGATTAACTCGGTGCGTGGAATAGGTAAGTTTTTTCTCTATAAATATACCAATGATAATATTATGTATTATTGTTATAGCACAGCACATTAGTCCTGCACGCATGCCATCGCCGATTTCCGCAGTGCTATATATTTCTTCCCTAGCTAGTTATTATTTTTCAATTTCAACATGATACACATAAATTATGCTGTACCATGTATGTATATTATCAATTTTAAATTGTTCCAAGATTTTATTCTTCTTAGATCAGAAATTTTTTTTTCTTCATCATCTTCCAAACCTAAAAAAAAAAAAAATTAACATGAATCGCGTGGTTAGTTTTTAAAAATTAATTATAATTAAAATAAGTTCTAATTTTAATTATCAATTTTAAATTATTCCAACATTTTATTCTTCTTAGATAAGAAATTTTTTTTTTCTTCATAATCTTCCAAGCTTAAAAAAAAATTAACATGAATCGCGTGGTTGATTTTTAAAAACTAATTATAATTAAAATAAGTTCTATCTTAATTACCGAGAAAAGCTTTTTTAAAGCAAACAAAGCAGTTAAAATTAAACAATAGTTTAACGTCCGCTAAGCACGCACCACAAGTCTAATCTAAGCGAAACTTAGAGAATATATCGTGCTTGAAAGGTCAATATTTGCATGAGGAAAAAGGAATAATTTGTAATTCATCAAAAGATTTGATTAAATTGTTAGAAAATAGGAAAGAATGTCTGAAAGATTGAGCACAACCCCGAAGAAAGGTCATGTAGGTGGGGGTGGAAGTGACGTCGGCGCCCTGTTTAGCCGATTGCCGATCAGCGCGCGGGCGGGAGCGTTGGTAATGAAAAGTGTTTCCATCTTCTTGTCGAGCGGACGCAAGCCCTCAGTCAATTCCAAGAAACCCGGGGAACAGATCCAGAGAAGAAGGCGCAGAAAGCTCACCGAGGAAGCCGCAATGAAGGCTTACCATGCCAAAGTTGTCGAGGCTCTGAAGAAGAAGACGAGGTTTTCTCGACCGGAACTTGAAGCTTTGTGCAAGATTTACAGGAAAATTACGACCGTTCCTACAGCTAAGATCGGGGTTACTTTGTTCACCAAAGGAGCTCCTCAGACCATTCAGACTGTTGAAGTAAGTTAAGAAGAATTAATTTTTTATAATAATCTTTCTTAGTTTATAATATTTAATTGTTATGATAAATGATAATAATTATAATTTAATAATTTATTAACTATAAAATACATCATTAAAAATTATCACAGCATTACGCTGAAAAAAAAAATTTTTATTGAAAAAATGGGCAATGTTGTAATAAGAAATTAATTTGTTTAAAATTTTTGTTTTTTAGCTGAAGAAATTTTTCTATACTTTTATTATTATTATTATCAATAGAAATATGGTGATGATGATGATGATGATGATTACCTTATTTTTTAATCGATAGGGTATCGACAGAACGATATTCCGTGAACTGCTGCACAATACCTTTGATATTATCACAGAAGACGCATTGATTGAACGAATGTTTTGCTGCTGGGATCGTGATAGTGAAGGTGCTATCAGACTTGAATCTTGGATCATGGGATTGGACGTTTTCGTTCGTGGAACCCTGAGAGATAAAATGGAATTCTGTTTTAGAGTTTATGATTTGAATAGCGATGGATTTATAACCAAGGATGAAATGTTTCAATTACTCAAGTAAGTATTATTTTAAATACACGAAGAAAAATATTAATTCAAAAAGTATAAAAACTCCAATAAAAAAAAATGATATTAACATTAGCAGACATCTAAAACATTTTTAAAAATTTTTATAATAAATCAATTATGATAAAAAAAAATATTTTTGAAAATTTTTACTAAATTTTTACTAAATTTTTTACATCATGTGTATTTTTTATCTCATGGTAACCTGAGATGCAACGTCGCTTAAAATCATTATAAAAACCCAATGTAATTATTATTTTATATGCATTCTGTCTTCAGACTTCTTCTGGAGCAGTAAGTCCTCGGACTTAGCAGAGGAGCAATCTCTGCCTAATCCTTATTAATAAATCTATATTTAATTGTCAATCGATTAATATGGATTTTTATTAAAACCTTATCCCCCACTCCATCCATCAACTACCTGAGGCAGGTAAATTTAAAGTTATATTTCCAAACTTATAAATTTAAAATTTAAAAGTGACTTCGCGGGTAAACCAGTGACACGACCCACCTGGAATCTACACTGACAAAAATTTTAACTTGATTCAAGAGCAAAAATCTTGAACCAAGAACACCAATTGGAAGAAAATGAATTTCTTGAGCCAAGAGGAAAAATTCTTGAGTCAAGATAGATTCTCTTGAATTAAGAAAATATATCTTGACTCAAGAATTTTTCCTCTTGGCTCAAGAAATTCATTTTCTTCCAATTGGTGTTCTTGGTTCAAGATTTTTGCTCTTGAATCAAGTTAAAATTTCTATCAGTGTATTGACATCCTAACGAGGTAAAAACTTGGATATAAATAATTTTAATTAAATAACCCAAAATTTGGGAACTTAACACTAATATTAGTTAACTTCAGTGTCTTTATTTATTTTTAAAGAAAAATTTAAAAAAAATTGTCAGATGTCTGGTAATTTTAGTCTAATAAAATTTTCCCTAAGTTAACTTAAAAATAATGTAAATAAATATTAATAATTTATTACCAGAAATTGTCTAATAAAACAACCAGGCGAAGAAGATCCCGACGAAGGTGTGCGAGATTTATCAGAGTTGATCCTAAAAAAATTGGACGTCGATCACGACGGCAAAGTTTCCTTCAACGACTACGAATGCGTTGTAAAAGAAGAGCCATTGTTATTGGAAGCTTTCGGGCAGTGTTTACCAACCGAGGAAAGTTGTTCGGCATTTCTTACAACATTGCAGCCATAGATCTAACCAAAAATCATTCCAACAATTATTAATAGCTTAAATAAAAATTAATTAATATTCCGCTTATCAATATCAATAAAATTTTTTATTTTTCCACCAGCACTAACAACATAATCTCAAGTATTAAATTCAGTAAGAGTGATATTAGAGTGTCATGTTTTAATTTGAGGATCGTTAATTAAAGCGATAAGCCAGAAGAAGTATTAAAAAAAAATAATCGGTGATTAGAATGTTAGTCATCACACGAAACAATAGTCGAGGTTAAAAATTCATCAGATTGGAATACACGTCAGCCAATCGTTTCTTAGTACAATTGTAAAATCGTTATTCGCCATATCGGGTTCGAAGTAACCTCTCATCGTACTTACCAACTACTACCGTACCATGAACAAATAATAGAAACATGGAACGTGCTACTCGAAACTAATCGTTTATTATTCTAATTATAACTAACCTTGCCGAGATATTTAAAACAAGTTATTTCACCAGCCGGATTATTCAACAAGATGCGACCGATCGACTTTATTGTTTTTCTCTTCTTCTTTGTCTCGGTGAGTCTCTATAAATAATTAAAATAAATTTAATTAATCCAATCAATTCATTAATTGACAAGGTAATTAATCTTGATTCAAGAAATTTTTTTTCTTCAAAACTTGAACTCTTGAAACTAGATATAGATATATTTCTTTCAAGAATTTTTATTGTCTCTTGGTCCAAGATAGGCGATAACATTGATTCAAGATGTTACCGACTTGTGTTAAGAATTGCTTTTTTTTTTTTGAGTCATTAATTTACTTATTTCCAAGAAATAATTTTTATTTGGTATAACAATTAAAGACTATTTAGTTTTTTAAATATACTTTGATGAATTTTTTTAAGTTTTTTAAACGATAATGTTATTTTGATTGAAAAACTTAAGAAGGTCCTTTCGCCATCAATGTTTAATAAAAAATATTAGATTACGCATAAAATTAATTTTTATCTAATAGTTAAAGTCATTATTTTTCTACTAATAGTAAAATTTAATTTAGTCTTTACCGTGAAAATTTTTGAAAAAAAAATTTTTATAAATGTTAGTATTTTTTCCGAGTCTTACGAGAAAGTCAGACCTTAACAACTTTTTCTCGAATTATATTGGTATTAACTACCGATTAGATGGGATAAAAAAAATAAAAAAAACCCAAAATAAGGTTTTTGAAATATTCAGGTTTCATTTTTTGCAATAAAATATATAGGTTGCCGTGAAATATAAGGAGAAATTAAAATTATAAAATTGTCAAGCAACCTACATTAAAATGAAGTCAAAACATTTGGCAACGTTGCGTAGCGCGCAAGCTTTAGACCATTCAATAAATTCAAACTAATTTATTAATTTACGGAATTTTTATGGGTTTTTTATTTTAATTTATCGTATATTGACTATTACAGTTGTTTTGACTCAACTGGAGCGAAAGGACTTCCTTAAATGTATCGATTGAAGATAATATAGCTCTTAAGCCAAAAAAATCTAAATCAAGACAAGAAATTCTTAAAGCAAAATAATCGACATTTGTCTTCCAAAATAAATTGTTAGATCAAGAAAATATCTCTTGAGTCAACATAAATTTTTTATCAGTGTATAAATATTTTTTTTAGAGTGTCACGTCTCAAGAAATTTCCAACAATGGATCCCAAAAGTACGACCCAAATTCGCTGGAAATGAACAAGAAGCTAATGAAGACTTTCCTGAGGCTCTTTTACCAGGCCGCTAATCGAGTTATGGCTTTAAAAAATAAACCTAGCAATCATATTGATGCTGATGTCCAAAATATTTCTATTTCGGACATATTGAAAACGCAGAACTCGGATATTCAAAGCCGATTTTTCTTCCCATCAGAGCCTAGAGGCCTTTTCGACAATCTGAACCCAGTCAACGCGATAAGTATAGTGTCGAAAAGCATGACAGGGGGCGTCGTTGATCACAAGGACCCGGCGCCCAATTTGGAGCAAACTCTTATTGAAATCGGTAACAAAGCTCTCGACGGGATGAATTCTACGATTAAAATTGTTTCTGACTCTGCTGGTGCTGCTGGAGGACACAGCACAGAATCTGGAGCCAGAATAGAAGAAACTGGCAAGCAATCCAACGTTTCGACTCCTTCTTTGAGATTCATGGGTGACTTGGACAACTCCACCAGCACAAATGTGACCAACGCTTCTTCTACCAGCACTAATAACTCTACCGATAAAGCAGAAGCGAGAGTGAATCTTAACCCAGAGCCTGTTTCATCGACAGTCGAGCCGGGAAACGGTACGAAAGCTCCCGAAATCACCAAAAGAGAAGCATCGGTACTGTCTTTGAATAACCCGAGTAATAATTTAAATGGAAATTTTCCGAGCTCTAAAATTACAGATGCTGCCTCAGTCGATAAGGGAGTGGCTGCCGAGCCTGTCAGAGTGATAAGATCCCCGTCCAGCGATGAGAACGATGATATCTTTGACTTTCCCGAGGATAACGACATCAAAGATGTGCAGCCGATTATTTCAAACCTGAAACTCGGGGAAATAGTCGATAAATTTAGTTATTTATAATTATTATTACTATTATTAATTAAATAAACTAATGATTTCTAATTGTTCAATATTTTTAGTCACTTAAATTAGTAATTGTTTTATTTAATACCTTTTTTAATCACAAGCCCGTTTGTAATAATTTTTAACCTTGATAACAAATACAATAAAGCAATAAAGGCTTATCTTGACCAATAAAATGAATAATAATTCGCTTATTAAAAACGGCACTCAATGTCAAGTACTAAGTTTTAATTATTTTGAATCGAGTGTAGCGAAAGCGATTTAATTCACCTAAAATCAATACTTGTTCTGTGATAGTCATAAATATCCAAACAAAAACAGTTTCACTGTAAAAAAAAAAAATCGCGCCAAGTCCACGTTCATAAGACTCCGAAAAAAAATAATCGTTTTTTACAAAAAAATATGAAATCAAAAAAACTCCAAGTACTTTTTATAACTTTATTAAAAAACCCCAAATCTTTTAGTGAGCGATATTTAATTTCATATGCACAATTATATAGAAAAGTAAAGTAAGTATGCACAAACATATAGTAAAGTACCCAATAGTACTTGAATACTTACAAAAATGGGACCAGTACTTGAATAGACTTTTCGAACTGTTATAATACAAAATCCGTAAATTTATTGTGAGTAATATGCTCATATTATAATTATTAAATGATAAAGTAATTGATTTCTGTAAGTTTTTTCAATTATACATCAAAACAATTATTTTTTTATTAACTTAAAAGTTGACATGTCAAGAATCGCCGATAGATATTATTTTTTTCATAAAAAATGTACTAAATCGTAAACCAAACAATCATTATAAAAAAAGGTATATCATCATTTTAAGTAAAAAAAAATTGTACCATCTATTGAAATACTCTTTTCTAAATAACATATATTTATTGTAAAAACAAACTATAATTTTTATATTAAATTTTAGCGTTCAACTATACCTCCAAATTTTCAAAGCGGTACCCAAAATTACTGCAATTTAAATAAGTTTTATGACTAAAAATTAGTGCAGTTAAAAATTATTAAACGTTTTGAATTGAGTTTTTTTTATTTATAATTGAAAATTTGTTTTGTCATTCATAAAAAATGTAATTATAAAATTAAATACAAATATTTCTCATTTTTAAATGAACATATTAAATATTCATAGTATTATTTTTAATATTATTCAATAATATGTTATATTTCTTTAGATATTTTAATACAACGTTGAAAATTTTTGGTGCGCCATATATTTTATTAGTTCAACTACTGCGGCTTGTCAGAATTGATATTAGTCTATTTTAAAAACGTTGTCAAAACGTAAATAATCAATTATCTGCGTTATTTTGCGCTTCAATCAATTTAAAATTGTTTATATTTTCATGAAAATCACTAATTTGAACTAATAATTACATCTTTATATATTAAAAATAGGGTCAAATAAGTTTTACTTTGAAACCTGTTCAACTACTGGGTACTTTATCTTAGCAAGTTTAAAACTTAATGAAACTCTTTTTTAACGTCATTGAATACCCCAAATTTTTAGAACTTAAGACATTAACGTTTTCTATATGTTTGTGCATATGAAATTAAATATCGCTCACGAAAAAATTTGGGGTACTCAATGACGTATGGCAAGTAGGTTAAAAAAGATTTTCATTAAGTTTTAAACTTGCTACTAACTTTTTTTAATGTTTTTAATAAAGTTATAAACAGTGCTTGGAGTTTTTTTGATTTCATATTTTTTTGTAAAAAACAATTATTTTTTTTTCGAATCCACGTCTTATGAACGTGGACACATCCTTAAATTATTATTATAAATATATTTTTTATAAAATATAATAATTTTAATCCTGCATAGAAAAAACTGGCCCTTAATGACCGAAACAGATGATCCCATAGTTACATCTGGCATTTTAAAACTTGGCGCCTAACCGAGTCTGTAGTACTGTAGATAAACTAAGAAAAAATTATATCTTAATAGGCGAGGATAATTAACATTTTCTGGTCATAAGACGTGTATGAAGGCGAAAATTTAAACAATCTGTTGCAGACATGACGGTTGTATACATAACCATTCTTCTAATCTTCATTGATAGCTCTGTAAGTTTTTTTGACATTTATAAGATCATTTTAAGGATAATTATTTAATAAATAATTTTAATTAGTCAATAAAATTGATAAGTTTTGGTTATTTTTCAGGTGGGATTTCACCACAGCAATGATCTTGAAGAACAATTGATGGAACAAGAGAAGACTATACAAACATTGCTGCGGCTTTTGCAACAGCCTTGTTACTTGATAAATCCACGTCAAACGCGTCACCACATACCGGGTTCTATATTGCCGATGACTATTCATCAGAAGAAAGCTGATGCAGGAATAAAAAGAAATAAATATCGCCCCTGGAGAAGAAATCCTATCTTTCGCTTTGGAAGTGACCGGAAGACCGGAAAATCTAGCGATTCTAAATCTATTGAGTCGGTTAAGAAAGTCTCTTCTGATCCAGAGTTTGATAACGATTTTTATCGAGCTTTGTCAAAGATTTTGAAGATGGAAATCAACAGGCGCCCCGAATTGAAAAAAGTTATTGGAGATGATATCAAGAAGATAAATATTGGAAAATCTGAGATTTGATTTTTTTCTTTGTTTAATTAAGTTTTTTTTTAATGTTAGTTGTATAAAAAAAGTCGCTAATTGGAATAATTATTGTTATATTTGGATTCACGTTGTGTTATTTGTTTAATAAATTTAATATACAAAAATTTTTTTTGTTACTTTGTTGACTACAAGGTTTTATATAGTATTTTAGGATGGTTTTAGAAAATATTTAAATTTGAGATATGGAATTTTAATTTATTTTTTATCTATAACAAATATTGTTACTTATAATTCTGATATATCTTCTTAGAATTCTAATCTCAAAAGATTTACATTGTTCTTACAATTTAATTACATTATAGTGATCTTAGTGAAATTTTGATAAATATAACTATTAAGAAAGTCTTAAATTATAAAAATTTAACTAATTCATGAATAATCTCAGAAAAAAGTTAGTTTATACGTGGAATTAAATATGCAGCATAAATTAATATTTTTTAAAAATAAATTAGGTAATAAAATTAATTATTATTTTTCAACTTTATGATTATAATTTATATGCTCTTTATTATATTTTTAGAACCTCTATCTTCTTCTAATAATGTTTTTTTTATAAAAATTAATACCTAAAATTTTTGAAGAAATTGAAATTGTTTTTGGAAAGAAGAAAAAAAATATAAATATTTTTTTCTTTTTTTAGTTGATAGATAGTTTCAATATCTAGTTTATTAGTCTATATTAGTCCGTATAACAATTCTTTATATTTAAGTACATGCATAAAAATGAAGCTATCTAAGCAATTAATTTTGTAATAAAAACTTTATATGCATATAGCCGATCGGCGTTTGTTCTATCGAAATAAAATAAAATAAAATATAAATCTTTTAAGTTAAAAATAATTATTTTTTTATCCTAAATTAGATTTTTAAAAAACTTATCAAAATTCCAAAAACCTAACCAAGAAGATATATATCTACTAGAGTTATACTTAAATTTCAACACTAGGCAATTTATGTTTTCAATATTAATAAAATATTTCTTATAAGTAAATTAAAAATTTTTTTTCCATAAAAAATAAAGTAAATTCATCAATTTTTTTGAAAAATAACCTACACAGAAAAAAAAATTTTTTTGTCTAGAAAAAAATTTCTTGGCTCAAGAATCGTTTAAAATAAATTTTGGTTTTTTGACAAAAGAATATCAACATCTATCATGATAATAAAATATTGGTATTAATTTTGATAGATTAACAAAGGAATAGGTTCTCTTGAATTAAACAAAAAATAATTTGATTAATTCGATCAATTCTTTGAATACAAGACAAGAAAATATATTTTTGAAAATTATCAAGAATATATATTCTTGTGACAAGAAAAATTTCTCAAGAGTAGTACTTTTTTTTTCTCAGTGTACGATCCTTGAATGGATGGAATTAAGCAATAACATCTTAACTAACATTTTAAAAAAAATCGAGTTATTATGATGAACTAAGTAATCTTATGATACTAAGTACGTTCATCATAATAACTGGATTTTTTAAAAAATGTTGATTAAGATGTCATTGCTCAATTCCATCCAAATAAACTAGCTACCAATTAGTGTTAAACAAGACATAAAATTGCACATGTAAGCAATGAAGACAATAAAAGAATAAAACTAATCTTGATGAAACGATCTACTGCCCGCGGTATTAAAATTTTCTTATAATACGATAGCAGCTGTTACGACCACGAATTGATTAAAGTATAAAAGAACTTTTTCATTTAATGCATTTTTATTTTTATAGGACAAGCAATTCGCATCGCGTCGATCGTGCCTCACCAATTTGTCTCTTCTATTTTCAGTCTAGCCACTGCCATGATTTTCTGGGATTTTTTTTTCCTCGTCACGGCTTATCAGGTCCACCTGGTAAGACAATTCAATTATTAATTTAATTAATCAGATTATCTAAAATAAATAAATTATAATTAAATATTAATAATTATTTATTTAATTTTAGTCTTATCAGAAAACTGTTCCCACGTCTGTGTATCGACGCGAGCCTTCGAGGGAAGTAAAAGAGGTAAAACTTTAGATCAAAAAAGTACAAATAAAAATTTAATAATCAACAATAAAATAATTTTAGGGTGACACTGTGATCGAGAATAAGAATGTCAACATTGTGGTGAACGTAGACCCGAAAGAAGTCGCCAAAGAATTGTGGAAAATTTTGGAAAAGCGCATGGACAACCCGCCGTCGAGAAGGTCCCAGACCTCCAAGGATATGATCAAGGAGTTGGAGACCATTGTTTCGCCTATCGTGCTCCCAAGCCGCCGGGCCAATGAACCCTCGGCTTTCGAAATAGCTGATGCCCTGGACCATGTCACCAGAAAGGCTCTACAGGGCGACTCTGTTGAGAGGAGCTCCATCGAAAAAGAAATACTGACCAGGAATATTGTAGCTAACATGATGAAAACTTTGAATGATGTTAAAAAGGTCGAGTCGCAGCTGTCGTTGCCTTCTGAGGGCGTTATTAATTACGAACAAACTCGGAAAAGTTTGCTGCTGATAAATCAAACCGATAATGTCTCTGCGGAAAGTGGCGAGGATGAATATGTTGAGCTTATTATTAAGATTCGGAGAAGTGCGCTGCAGGGAAGTCAAGACTTGAAATATGTATTTGCTTAGTTTTATTTAATTATTTTATTGAAGCGATGGTTTGTTGCTTGGTTTTTGTCTGGTTGCAGCTGAATTTTAAGTTTGTGATTTTTTTTATATCAAAAAAAAATTTTTCTTTTTAATTTTAAATTTGTTTTAAAAATTTATTTTTAAAATTTGATAAAAGAAAAAAGCTAACTTGATTTTTAAGAAGAAAAAATTTTAAAGATAAAAAATGAATCATTTTTAAATAAATAAATAAAATGTAATTTTTAATTTAAAATTTAGCAGTTGAATGTAATGAAATGTAAGTTTTTTAAGTTAATTTTTATTTTTCTTTGTATTAATTTACTAATTTTTCTTATCAACTTTTCGGCTATTCTATTACAAAACACAGTAACTGACAAATCTTAGATTTTTAAGTTTTTTTTTTTAATTTAACAGTAAAGATAAAAAATTTAATTTTTAAGAGTAAATATATTAATAAAAAAATTTTAAAGAAAACAAACTTTTCATTTATTATAAAAAATTACAAAAAAACTTGAGAGGTGTCAAGGGACACCCGGATGGAACGAAGTTCCTTTCGATTAATTAGTGAAGGAATTGTAATAAAATTTTATTTTATTTAGAAAGACGAAACGAAAATAACCCTGATAGCCATCCAATCGTTAAAGTTAACGTTAAAATGCAATCCAACTTATGTACAATCTAATGCCGGAAATTCACTTTAACTTTTCTCAATATTTTGTACTTAGTACAAGTCTTAATATGAACTTTTAATGAAGTTGGACAAAACACTTATTGACGTGGCAGATTATCAGAATTTGTCTCTTTTTTACATTGGTAGGTAATTTATCGATAAAAAAATGAAGCACAGTAAAAATTTTTTACTACGTACATAACAACCCTGATAGCCAGCGCTTTCTCAGTAAGTGTTGACTTAATTCTAGCAGTTACGGTTAATTTATACATCAAGTTGGCGGTAATTCTTCACTCAACAACAGTTGTAAGCAAATTTCAACTTTACTACACTACAATTTGACGGAAATACTTGTACAGCAAGTTTTGACGTCTATTTCTAGATAACTTACTCGAGTAAGTTATAGGTAACTAATAGGTAATCGCTCGCTTTGCCAACTCTTTCCGTCAAGTTTGCTTCAAATTGCGGAAGTAGATTGACAGTAAGTTATAGGTAAGGTGGCTATCAGGGTGCTGTCAACTTTTCGCCAACTTTCCTTCAACTTTTGACCAATTGATAAGTCGACTGAAATATTATTTCTTATCACCCGAGACGACAATTTATCGTCTAATAATACCGATAATATTGTATTTGTTTTTATCAATTATGAATTTCAATGATCGGGCCACCAGATGGCATAATTATCAGTATATATATGTATGTTCCAAAAATATGGTTTAAAAATTTTATCGTGTTTTGAAATAGAACAGCCGTTTTATTAAGTTAAAATTAATAGTATTCATCACAAATTAACAATGTCCATGAACATTTTATTAAATACTAGAATTTAACTTACGCGCGCAAGCGCGCGCCTCATATTTATTGTCATGATATATTTATGTGTCGTTTATGTATATTATATTCACTTTCAACCAATCAGAATGAGAATATTTATTTTTGACCAATCACATCACGAATAAATTGGTTTCACATACATTTCATCTCAATTTAATTATGGGAACTAGAATTCAAATTTGCGCGCGCAAGCGCGCGCCTTGACTATAGAGTTTGCATATATTTTCATGCATATAATATATTTGACCAATCACATTACGAATAGATTGGTTTCACATACATTTCATCTCAATTTTATTATGGGACTAGAATTTGAATTTACGCGCGCAAGCGCGCGCTTTGACTATAGAGTTTGCATATATTTTCATGCTTATGATATATTCAACCAATCACGTTACGAATAGTTTGATGCCACATACATTTCATCTCAATTTTATATTAGGACTAGTATACGTTGCGCGCGCAAGCGCGCGTGTGAATGTTGGTATGGAATTATCTATATTTTCATGCTTATGATATATTTGACCAATCACATTACGAATAAAATGTCTTCATCAATGTATATATTTTCATATTTTTCATCTAAATTATAAGAGTGGACTAGAACTAGAATTTAATTTACGCGCGAAAGCGCGTGCCTCATATTTATTGTCATGATATATTTGTGTCGTTTATGTATATTATATTCACTTTCAACCAATCAGAATGAGGATAAATATTTTCAACCAATCACATTACGAATAAATTGGTTTCACATACATTTCATCTCAATTTTATTATGGAACTAGAATTTAATTTTCGCGCGTCATATTTATTGTCATGATATATTTATGTGTCGTTTATGTTTATTATATTCACTTTCAACCAATCAGAATGAGAATATTTATTTTCGACCAATCACATCACGAATAAATTGGTTTCATATACATTTCATCTCAATTTTATTATGGGATTAGAATTTGAATTTGAATGCGATAATTACCATGAACTTTCGAACAATTTATCATTCGTATAGATCGCTCTTTGACTAGAGTTGTTTCGACTAGATTTCATTACTAAATTTTCGCCTGTTTCATTTTATTCTTTTGTCTATAATTAACTTTAAATATTGTTAATTTCGAATAGTTTTCATTTCGGATATTTATGACTTTGTATATTTTGTATTTTCGAATGAAAATAATTTGAGTGGAGTTTCTGGCACCCATATTTTCATGCTTATGATATATTCAACCAATCACGTTACGAATAGTTTGATACCACTGTTGTATAGCCCAAAATTGGCTAATTTTGATTTTTTATTTTTTTAATTATTTTGTTAAAAAAATTCATAAAAATTGTCAGTTTAAAATATTTTTTTGAAATTTATTTCAACTTTCAAAACATGATACTAAAATTAATAGACTTTTGTCAATTTTTTGGATTTTTTTAAGGACTAAATTATCAAAAAAAAATTTTAATATAAAAATTATTCAACTAAAACCTTAAAAAAATTATTAATGCAAATTTTATAAAAATGTTTTTATTTATAATTGATTTGGAATAAAAATAAAAAAAAATTGTCAGATTTCTGCGGATTACAGTATCATCTTCATAACCTATTATACTTAATACAGTATCTTTTCATGACATAAAAGTTAGCGGTCACTTGACCATTTTTTTTAATAAACAAATTTGTCCCAAAAAATTGTTTCGAAAAAAAGAATACATTTATCACATTAAAAAATTTCTATGTCAAGTTTTCTTTCTAATTTTGTTGCCATAATTTATTTATTACAAAAATTCCTAAAATTATCAAATATCTGCTAAATTGATTTTCATAAAACAAACAAGTTCACAATACTTCTTTGAAGGTTATGTATGAAAATTAAATTAGCCATCTGAAAATTGTTGTAATTTATTTTATTGAAAAATTATTTGTAAAAAATTAAAAGAAAAAATTTCGCATGTTAAAAAAAATTTTACAAATTACACGTGCAATTTTTTAAAAATATTTTTTTAGTTCTAATTTAATTAATAAAAAAAATTCAAAAATTGTTGAACGTCGGCTAATTTATAACTCTAAAGTTAGCCGACGTTTTTAATTTTTTTTAATTATTAAATTAGAACTAAAAAAATATTTTTTAAAAATTGCACTTAAAATTTTTCAAGTTTTTTACAAATGAAAATTTTTTTTTATTATTTTGCAATAATTTTTTTAATAGAAAAAAAATTCTAAAAATTTTTAAATGTCTAACTTAATTTTCATGGCTAATTTTAGTATCATAGGTTATGTTTATGAATAAACATTACTCTTACCTATCCATCCATAAATAATTTCCGAATGTACTTCAACTACTAATAAATTCATCATTTTCAACTTCAAAATTTTTTTTTTCAGATTCAATTGCTATCGAAACAAATGGCGGAAAACACGGGCCCAAAACAAGAAAACGCTCTTGCACAAGAAAGCCAACCAAAACCGTCAATAGTAGTTGACGTATCGCGAAAATCATTTTTATCGCGACTTCATGAACTGGAAAATTCTTTCGACAACTCCAACAGCATGAACCAGAACAGTAACAATGCAAATGTCAACACAAATACAAATGTTAACACTAACGCAAATACAAACTTCAACCCGAACGTCCGTAAGCGTCCGCTGACAAGTGTGTATCTCAACGATGACATGATCTGAACACTTTATCCGAACATCTTGTATGTTTACAAAATGAAGCTTCAATAAAGCTAAAAAAAAAATAACATAAATCAGGTTATAATTTATAATTTTAAATCCTTTTGAATTAAAATTTTCCGCTATCGACTTGTGAGTGACAGGCTTACTATTGCCAATTTCCATTTCTCTATTTATAATTGAAATAATCGCTATTTTTATTTACGATATTCGGAGGGTATATAAGGAAGTATTTTCGATGAACGGTAAGTACTTAGTTTTTTAAATTATTTAACAGTGTTACGATGTTTGGAGGATCTGTTTACAAATTCTTTGCCATCGCTGCGGTTATTAATCAAGTAAGTTCATTTTTATCACACTGAAGTTAACTGACGTTAAATTAAATTAAACAATTAAATTATTGTGTAAAAATAAAAAAAAAATTTTTTTAATAATTTTTTTTATTGTAATGGATTTGTTAGGTATAACAGATTAAAAAATTTACAGTTGTCAGGTAACTTCAGTATCATCTTTTTTATTTTAATTATTAATAATAATAAACTATTTTTCAAACCTATAAAAAATATGATACTGAAGTTAGCTGACAGCTGTCAATTTTTTGAATTATTATAACAAATTAATTACAATTAAAAAATCCTTAAAAAAACTTCCACTTATAATTTTAAAAAATTTTCATGTTTTCATGTATGAAATTTTTTTATTGAATTTTTTTCATAATAATTTCACTGCTATAAAATTCTAAAAACAATATTAAAGTTAGCAGTCATTTAAAAATTTTTTAATTTTTGTTAACAAAAAAAATTTGTAAAAAAAAGATGACACTGAAGTTAGCAGACGTCAAAAAATTTTTGATTTTTTTTATTAATTAAATTACAACTAAAAAGATATTTCTAAAAAATTGCACTTATAATTTTTCAAGTATTTTACAGGTGAAAATTTTTTTTCGATTATTTAATTGAAATTTTTTCAATAAAAAATTTCTAAAAATTTTAAAATGTCGACTAACTTAATTTTCATAAAAAAAGTTATTTTAAAAAAAAATGCATTTTTAATTTTTTCAAATTTCTAAATGTCAATTTTTTTTTTCTAATTTTTTTTGCTATAATTTATTTGTTACAAAAAGTTTTAAAACTATTAAATATCAGCTAAATTAATTTTCATACTCTAAAAAAATTTCTAATAGTATCTGTTAACTTTAGTGTTATTAAAAAATTTAATATATTATTAATTTTCTACAGATTTTTGACTTGACGAATGCGAGGCCCAGTCCTCGTGGCAGTAACAGCAATTCTAATGTAAATATTAACACAGTTTTAAATTCCCAGCGGAAATACCGAAGAGCGCAAGCTGCCGTAGAAGTAAGACTTGATTGTTTTTTATTTCTTCATAAAAACTATCAGAGTTTTGTTTCTTCAATTTTTGGAGTACTTTTAGAAGCAGAATGCTGATAAAATAATAGAAACTGCTGCTGTAGCAACGGCCGCCGCGGATGCTGCTAAATCCGCGACCAGATTGCTGGCAATGAGATTGTCAGACAAGGCAGCGGACGCGGTTGCCGATGCTGTTGTCAAAGTAATGACAGAAAATTCTAGCGAGCCGGTGCAAACTGTCGCTAAAGTAGCAGCAAGAGCTGCAGTTGCTGCGAACAACAGGAAGGATACTGATCCTAAAACTTCTGAGGAGGCCACTGGTCACTCAGAAGGATCAACTGTGCCTCCAGGTTTGTTGTATCTTCAGTTTTTTTTTTTTTTTTAGGAGTATTTTATTATTGATTGGTTTATTTTTGCAGACAATGTAGCGAAAGAATCCACAGTTGCGGGAAAGAGAATCGCTGAAGACAAAAAAATCGACAGCAGTTCGGAGGAAGCTTCGGATAAATCTTTGAATGGAAGATATTACAGTTACGGAGCTCCTTGGGAAGGCAGGTTTGATTATCGAAGGTCAATACTTGATAGGATGGATCTTCCTGAGGATAGATTTGGTCAATATGATTATTGATTCAAGCGTTTTATATATATATATATATGTATGAATATATGAATATACCTAAGCAAAAAATATTGTTATTATAACTTCTTCCATTAATAAAAAATTATAATTATTTAAAATAATGATATTGAGTTTGTATCTTCTCATTTAGGAGTCATACGGAAGTAGAAGACTGAAAAACCATTTTTTTCTGAAGAGGTTTTATAATTGATTAATATGAAAATTGATTATACATATCGACGTTCTAATTAGCAAATTGTCTAACTTCATTTTAGAGAATCTTCCATTTGTACGAAGATACAATTAGTTTGAAATTTACTAATATTAATAGAGGTATAATATTTTGGTTAGGACCGTTCAAATAATTTATAATTGAGGAGCTGATTTTCAAAAGGGTATCTTTTTATTTTTTAAAATAGCAGTTTTTTGAACTTTCAAATATTAATTACTTCGAGAATTATAAAGATTTCTTATTGAAAACCGAATTGTAGCTTCATAACCGATAGCACTTTATAGCTAAGTTAAAAAAAGTTAAATAAAAATATTTATTATTGAAGATAACCAGTTTTTTGTCTCAATTAATCAAAAATGAAAAGATACTCTTTTGAAACTCAACTCCTCAATTGGACTATTACTACATCAAAATGTCAAAAAATCACCCTTTAAAAAATAAGGAGAGACCAATTGCTAATTAGACCGTCGATATATGAGTGATTTTGAACTTCATTAATAAGTTCTTTTTTTGACGAATTATGATTTTTATAGATTTTGTAGACGATTTTCGAAAGGTTCTCCAAAAAGGTTACTTGAAGTGAGCACGATATCTTCGGTTTGAATCATCGAAATTCAGAAATCTAAAAAAAATCAACTAATATAAGACATTATTTAAGATTAATCGAAAGAATTATCAAAATATCTATTTTTAACAAATTAGCGGGTTGACATTTGTCAAACAAAAAGTTGACTTTTGATTTTAAATCAAAATTTTAACCTTAAATTGTTTATAAAAATATATAATATTTCCGGAATTATTAATCCTTGGGTCAATTACTATAAAATATAGTCAAAAAAATTTTTTCAAAATTATAGACTGATTTTATTTGCCGTTTTTGAAAAATCTTGCTCACCGATTTTAAAAATACAGTTTTGAGAAAAAAATATTTAAAGTTTTTGGCCTCAGCCCCATTTTCGTGCGAGACGCTCCGAAAAGGCTTCACAAAAATCCTTATAACTTTGAAAATACTCGTCCGACTGACATTAAATTTTCTGTATATATACTTCAATATAAGTAAATTACAAAAACTAAATAAAAAAAAAATGATTAATTTGTTATAAATTCTAACTGCGCATAGCCCCTTAATTATTACAAACAAACTTACTTAAAATTAGGAAGGTTACATTATAATACAAACAAACAAAGTATATTTCTAATTATGGCACATGCCTTTCTATTAATAAACAAATTTAATTATAATAAATCATAATATTAATAATTATAATAATAATAAATGTATGTATAATTACAAAATACGTAATTGGTTACTTGCGATTGCGTATAATTCTGTTATCAGTCTTAGCCTTTGGATTCTTCAAACAAGCTTACTTATTTATTACTGTATTTTGTATTGCCAATTCGTATCTGAACTGTAACTAGTATACCTAACAATCCACAGGCTAACAAAAAATATCAGAGTGTGTTTATTGTTTCTTCAAAAGGTACATCACATTAACAGAAATATAACTGTGGGTTGTTTTTTAAAATTCAAAATCCATTTATCGGTCAACTAATAAACTAATTCATATACAATCAATAACCATAATCATAATTCATATTAAATCAACAAAATTTACCATCTTATTATCACGCATTGCATTGTTATCTATAACAAATCGGGCATTTATATCATAAAAATATTTTTTTAAATATTACAGCTTTTTTTTGACAACGAATTATCATAATTATAATAGTTATAATAATCATACATATAAAAATTAATAATATCCGAATTGTGATGTTCGTCGTCTAGTACTTTTTCTATTTATAATTACAATTATTTCAATAATAGTAATATTAATTAAAATAAATTTATAAAATTAATATATACAAGAATCAATAAAAATTTTTTATAAAACTAATAGAAATTAATTTTTATCACTAAAATAATATAAAGATTTACAGAATATCTGGTGAAGTATATATGTATATATATAATCAATTCATTTTATATTTATAATATATATATATATATGTACTTTGCTTATCACTTATCACCTTCATTGTTTTCTCTCATAATGTTCAGAACCATTTAATCTTATTCATTTTAGAAGATATATTTATTAATATACATATATTTTATTTAAATATATCGTTTAGAGACTAGCAATTATAATTAACTAGATAATTAATTTTTTAAAATTAGTTACGTGAAATCAGCATTGCAGGTTATGTTTAACCTGTTTCTTGTTTTCTTCTAACCTTACTTCGTAAAGTATATAAAATAGTATATAAATGTGATATTATATATATTTTTTTAATATAATCGATCTCTTTGTAAGTAAAATTCAATAGATTTATAATTTCTGTGTCTAAGTTAGAGTGAAATATCTGTAAAATTTTGTGGCGGAACTTTTTTTACTTGATAGAAAACTCAGTTAAAAAAATTTCTACAAGGAAGAATATAAAAAATTGAACAATTTGATTTTTTTTATTTTTATTAGAAAAAATTTAAGAAAAGTTTTTTAAAATTAGCAGAATTTTAGTATTGAATAAAATTTTAAAAAAATTGTCCATTTTTTAATAATCTTTAAGATAAAAATTTTTCTTACACAACTGATCATTAAAAATGCAACCGGCAGTATTTTAAATAGTTAAAAAGGATATAAAAACTGGCAGTGTTTTATAAAATTAGTCTTTACAGTAATGTAATTATAAAAAAAAAATTGACAGTTCCGCTGGTAATCTCACATGTTATCGGGGTTTAATTTGGTATTGTACTTTTTTATTTACAAGTGCGGAAAGAGATATTTGTATTTATTATTATTATTTGTATTTGTATTTTCTCAATAATGATAATTTAAAATTTGTCATACTTTATGCTTGATGAGCTTGTTTTTACCAGCCACCTACAATAATCATAAGTGGATTTAAATATTATTATTTTTTAAAAATAATCATCCATTATTCGGCTTTTAATAATCAACAACAACATTAATAACAATTAAAATAAGAGAAAGCCACTTTTAGACCGGCTTGAGACGTGTTTATGTTTATATTTTATTTATCCATTTTGTAATTAATATATTGTACGAGTTTATTCATTTCAATTGCTTTTTTAATCCCGTTAATCTGTGAGAAAATACTCGGGCATTTGTACGGCTTATTATTAAATTAATATATAATTATTTTTATTTATAATAATAATTATTATTACTTATTATCGTTATTATTTATATTTGTAATGAGCATAGAAAATAGTTTAGTTCTATTATATCTTGATATTTTCAGATACATAAACACTTTCAGTCTCGGTGTGAGCTTAATCTCTTCAAAGTAAAACGTAACAAGGGTTTATAGTATTATTTATATTTTTATTTTTGTATTACTCGGAAATTTAATGTCTTCTTTTTTTCTATTATTATTATTATTAATAATGGCTGAGAATTTTTCGAACTAGAGAATTTTTCTACTCTAAAATTACGTAAGGCTTCAACGAGCTTGAACTGGATAATTTTAGAACACTTACAAAAATACAAATTTTTTATGAGCATAATTGCTATAATTTATCCCAACGATTATATTTTAATCTACTTTATTAGATTTATGAGAATTTTTTATGAAACTGAAATTAAGAGACATTTTTTCAATTTAAAAATTTTTATGATTAAATTATAATAAAAAAATTCCACATTTAGAAATTAAAAAAAAAATACAATTGTAAATTTTTTTGCAATATTTTTTAGTTATGATAAAAATTAAAAAAAAATTTTTTTTTTAACAAAAAATTGATAATAAAAATTCAAAAAATTTTCAAATGTCTTCTAATTTCAGTACAATTTTTTTTAATGCCTTTAAAAAGTTAAATATTTTGAGAAACTACGCCTAAATATACGCAAAACATTTAAAAGACATTGACTTAAGTTACTTGTAAAGTATATATTAAAATACCTTTTAAATTTTCGTCGCTATTAATATTATATTCTTCTCAAACATTCCAAAGCTAGCCTCAAATTTATCTTCACTGGGCCTAGTTCACTTATCAATTATTATTTAAAAAAACTTTCTTAATTTTCAGTTACCATTGCCAGACTAGTCACCAATCAAATACTCCAAAAATAGTTACTGCTTATTTCAATAATCAATCATTTAGTCACTAGTCATTAGTTATTCTTCATCGAGCATTCACATATTGGACGGCGGTACCAAAATATAGCCTAAAAGACCATCCAATCACAGCTACCCATTATTTTTGTTTCGTTGGTAGCACCGTTACATATTTAGGCATAAAAAAAAATATATAATATTGCCTTTCTTGTTTATTCGTCTTCTAGTTTAATCAAATATTTATATTTTCTATATTTAAATATAGAGATATATGTAGATATTAGGGTGGCGCGAAAAAACCGACTATTTTTTTTTTGAGTCTCGAGTGAAAAAATGTTAGTTTCTGATGTTTGAAGAGCTTTCTCCAAGGGACAGCTTAAAAAAAAATTTTTTAAGAGGTCGCTCATAATTTTTTTTAATTGGATTAGCATTTTTTTACTCTGAAATTAAAAAAAAAAAATTTGAGCGACCTTTCAAAATTTAAATTTTGAATTGAAACTTTCAAGAACTTATTTGTTTTTGTCTATAAAATTATGACGTAACGAGAAAAAAAATAAAAAAAAAAAAATTTCGATTTTTGAAATTTAAAAAAATTTGGAGCGATCTCTTAAAAATTTTTTTTTGAGCTGTTCTTTGGAGAGAGCTCTTAAAACATCAAAAACTAACATTTTTTTCACTCGACTCAAAAAAAAAAAAAAAAAAAATAGTCGGTTTTTTTGCGCCACCCTAGTAGATATCATTATTATGCAATTTCCTGCATCTACGCTTTTAATTATGGCAATCTTTAAGCTATAATTAATGATAAACATCAAAACTCGTCACTGACGATATTGAAGATTACGATCGATGTATAGCTACGAAAATAATGAATATCTTTAGTCACTGGTTAAGTTTAAACGCACTACCTTTACTTATGAATTTATTATTATCTATATTAATTAAAGATCTTGAAAAAAATATATAGATGTGTATTATATAGGCAAAGTGCAAGAGATCTTGCCTATAAAAAAAATATTTACTCTTATATTCTTCTTGCTCTTTAACTTTAGTTATTTTTCTTGCGTTAAAAGTTCTTAAACTTAATTCTCAGTTTTGTTTGTTTGAATAAAAAGCGGAGAAATATATAAAACCTTTTACAGGTAATCGTTGTCAACGGTTCGTTTATCCTGAGGTTTAAGAGTCGTCATTTCTTCGAGGGAGCCTTCTTGAGCCGTCTGCTCGTCGACAAAGTTTATTTTTCCGGCTTTGTACCACACAACGAGATCAACAATAAATGCCAGTGCGAGTATTCCACCCGTAGTGCCTGTGGATTAAAAAATTTTAATTAATCACTCAGCACTGTGTTGAGTGCTGACTTTAAAGATTATTCCCTGCGCCACATACTTTCGAGGTACTCAAGGTATGGGTTTAAAAACAAGATTTACTGGAAAGTATGTTATTTTTACTATACCCGGTACTGGATGCAGTACCTAAGCAATGTTATATGCTATATGCTATATGTTATATTATGTGCTCGCTAAGTATAAATGACTCGGGAAGAACAAATCAACGTGGAGTAGTATGTTGTGAGCTAAAGTAAAACCACTAGACATTACTCTGACTAATTTACCCGGTGAACGTACCGTGAAAGAACATCCTGAATATGTTTGAGTCGTAGAGCCAACAGGCGCCACGCTCACCGCAGGAGTTATCCCAAACCAGGCATGCGGAATCCACAACTGCTCCGTACACTATGGGACAAGGTACATTTCCTGTAGGATAATCGTAGTATTATTATTATTATTATTATTATTATTATTATTATTATTATTATTCAACTTTTATTAACATTAAATATTAATTATAATTGTAGTTACCAAATAAGCCTATCGCAAATTGTATGAGACCCAGAGCCATCGCTTTATCCTGGGGATCGACGCATCGCAGAATAAGAAGCATCGACCCCACTTCACTGGTAGAGTGGATAAAAACAAACAGAGAAAACAGGATCATGTACACCCAGAAGTTACTGCACTCTAGGTCGCAATATCCCATTGTTGCTTTGCTCATTTCAATTGATGATAATCCAAATGCTGCGTTCAATGTTTCATTTTGACCGATGCATTGACAACCGTAAAACTAGAAAAATATTATTATTCTTAATTTTACTCTATTAAATTTTTTTTTTTTACAATTTTAACTCCAAATAAAAAATATTAATTTTTTAATCTGATTTTTTTTAAATAAATTATTTTTTAAAAATGAAATCAATAATTTTTAGTGAAATTTTTTATAATGATTAATTAAAAAAAAAAAAATTAAAATTTACTAAATAATTACAAGTAACTATTGATTATAAATAAAACTTACAGAAGATATTTTGCCATCAATTTCGGTAAAATTTGAACAAGCAGCATGGCAAGCCGAAAAATAAGTTTTTTTATCGGCTCCACATATGGGACTAAATTTATTGCGTCCACAATCGCAATCGGCATTGCATGTGGGCTCGAAGCTGGTTACGCCCTCGGTGTTGGTCGTCAACCCGGCAAAGTCATCCATGGGACACCCGATGAACATCAGAGTGCCCATACCTACGGCATAGACGATCGCGGTGAAGGCTATCCACCCGGCTACGAACCTTGCGTTGGGCTTAATGCGCAGGATAAACACGCCGCTGATTATTATTCCCAGGCCCATCACGAGGATCCCGCCGACTCCTGATATCATGTTCGCGTGGTGGGCCGGCAGCCGGAACTGCGTTTCCAGGTACTTTGGCAAGAAGGTGTACAGCCCCGCGATCGGCAGGATGTGAAGCACGCTGCTCGCTGTTCTGTACATCAGGATGTCATTCTTTAGGAGTCTCTTCACCGCTTTTGGAAAATCTGAAAAAAAAATTATTGTTCGTTATCTATTGTCATAAAAATAGAAAAAAAAATATAATAATAATAATAATAATAATAATTATTATTATTATTGTTATTATTAAAGAGCAACATTTATTGTAAGCCATCTTAGGAATAATGTTTAACAACAACAACAATAATAATAAAAATAATAATAATAATAAATAATTTCCATTGTTAATATTAAGTATTTGGTAGTTTCTTTTATTTGATAACTATTTTTATAAAAAGACATAAATTATTTAAAGCCCTATATCACAAATTACTGTCAGTCAAATTATTTTAATTTACATATGAATTTATAAAGGTCCTCAACCTTTTTTAATCCCTAATATTCTGTATTATAATCAGGTCGTTGGTCTCTTGATTCTTCTTTAGAAATTCTGTCCTATGTAATATTCAACAGTCTTTTTTTATTATTATTATATATTTTATAGCTTCCTAAAAATATTATTATTTTATAAAAATATTTTATTAATTGACAAAAATATAGTTATGAAATTATTCATATTAATTAACTAAACTTATTTTAAATAGTAATTTTCATTTTTAATAAAAAAATCTTGAACCAAAAAATTTATTGCTACTCAATCAAGAAAAATTTTCAAACCAATAAATTTTGCTTTAAGTTAATTTTACCTGATTAAATAATTTTAATAATAGAGTAACTCTCCCTATTATTAATAAATACTATTAATGTAATTTTGTATAAAAAAAAACTATAAGTCCGTCGAAGAATCACCTAAATCATTTTCATTAAAATAAAAATTTAAATAAAAATACTTGTTTGCCCAATTTGTCGGTCTGCGATGATGTAATTTTTATATTCGCTATTATATCTTCACTACTGGGTTTGTAAGCCTGGACTAGCATAAGTACAAGGCAATACATCTTGTTTTACAAACGCTGTTTAATAACTTCTCTCTCTCTGCGCCATTCTTACGCTACACGATCATCATAATCATTATTATCATCTGTTCCTCTTACTTACTCATCCTCATCCTCATCCTCATCCTCATACGTATGAATATACCTAACTTGACTTATGCCATCCGCGATTTTTTTCTTTTTCTTTCACCTTGTAGAGCCTATGGATCTATGCGGGGTTGCCAGCTTACGATGACGAGTTAGAGCAATACATGGTTAGAGTCTCTACGTATAATAATATAATATACAGGAAAGTCCTTGGACTTTGTCTATTTTGACAAATAAAACGTGCGTAGGATTCAAGTCCTACTAAGTTATTTATCTGCCGAATTAATTCACTGAAAGTTTATTGCGAGATAAAAATGTTTATGTAACACCTTCGAGCTTGGACCGCGACCCTGGTGCTTATACTTATACTTAACTATACTAGGCGATTTATCATTTATAATCTTTCTTTTTACGAATAATGGATTAATCTGTATTTTATAATAAAAATTTAGTTAGTGTATTATAAGCTCAATTCTTATCTTGATGGTGTATTTTTAAGGGGAGACTTTCGATTTATTTTTAATAGTATTAATGCAAAAATTATCTTTTAAGTTGGTTACTGTTTAAATTGCGCTTTTAAATACATAAGTACGTACTTGGATAATTTTTTGTCTTGTACTTTGATTTAAAATTTAATAATTATTATTATTATCAAACTTTAAAATACATGAACATCTTTTATATTTATATAATAAAACTAGCCGTTTCCCGCCCGCTTCGCTGGGCGAATTGAAAAAGGAAATAAATTACATTTTATGTTTCATTTTTATTTTTTTTTTTTGATATTTTTATTATTTTTCTTTTTATTTTTTTTTTTTTTTTGTATGAACATAAATAGGCCCCGCGGATAGAACTGTAAGCATCGATATTGTTTAGACTTACACAAATTCCAAATTCCATCGATTTAGCCTGTATCTTTCATCCAGGTGATTTTTCTCACTAATATTCATTGTAACTTTCAATGTGCAATCATTATAACATTTCCGTGCCTTTCTTCCAAAAATTAATAATAATTGACATGAAGAAAAAAATTTGAAATGAGCATTGAAAATTTAAGTTAAAGTCATTGCAAGTCTCATATGTGAAGTTGAAATCTGTCTAGGTTCAAGTGCGACGAATTTTCTATTAACTAAAATTTTCTCCGTGACATCAATTTTTTATGGAAAATTAATTGTTCATGTTTTTTATGAATTCTATTGGAATAAGTAACTAAATTTCTTTTCCACATCTCAAGTGCTTGGAAAATGCATTCATTTTAATCTGCTACATTTCCGCGATCCCGCAATAAAAGAATTCGTCGGTTATGTAGTCTGCAAAAGTAAAATGAATGTAAAATTCTTAGTCCGTTGATTGGATAGCTACATGTAAAGTTAAGTTTTGGAAACCTCTCAATGACTTTTTCTCGCTGCCAAAAAGACGATTGTTGTAAGGAAATACACAAATATCCCTACACACACGAAGATCTCCACCAAATTTGGAGTCTGTAGAAGTTACAGGTTGGAAATTAAAATTTTAGATTTACCCACCCCCGCAATTCCTGTCGGAAGTAGACTTTATTGAAATCCATTTTAAGATGATCTTTATGTGAATAATAGAAGTTCCTACCATATTTAGAATTTTTAGAAGCTATATTTCGAAATTGAAAATTTTTATTGTTAACACCTACCCCCGCGAACCTTATTGGAGGTGATTCATTGTAAAATCCGCTCTAGGATCATTTTTATATTACATATAGAACATTCTCACTAAATTTGGAGTCTATAGGAGCTATCGCTTGGAAATTGTAAATTTTCATTGTTAACGCCCCCGCAATCTTCTTTGGGGTGCGATATCGTAAAATTTATTTATAAATCATTTTTACATCACTTATAGAAAATTCCTACACAATTTGGAGCTTGTAGGAGCTTTAGCTGGAAAATTAAAAATATTAATTGTTAATACCCACCCCCGCAACCCCCTGCGGGGTGAGCTATCGTAAAATTTGTTCATAGCCTATTTCTACACCTCTTATAGAAGATTCCTACCAAATTTGAAGTCTATAGGAGCTATAGTTTAAAAACGGGAATTGTTCATTGTTAACGCCCCCGCAATCCCTTTTGGGGGATGAATTTCTTAAAATTTATTCATAGCTGACCTCTACATAGCAAAAGTAATATTCCTACCAAGTTTCACGTTTCTAAGTCTTATGGTTCCCGAGATTTCGTGGTGAGTGACTATATAGATGGGAATTCTTCGATTATCATCGAAATTTTTAACTTTTTATCGGACTTTTTTAAAATTTTCTTACATATGAAACTTTCTCCTGACAATTCTGAAGATAAAAAAAAAAAGCCCAATTGGTCCAGCCATTCTCCACTACCGTGAGTAGATTCTTAGCTGAATGTAAAAAACCATAGTCCGTTTAATATACTCTGTTGAAATCCAGAAAACAAAAGAATCAAGAGAAAATGCTTATCTTTTGTTTTTATTAGCGGGATAAATGTTCATAAAAGTATAACAGCAATAAAAAAATGAAAGAATGTTAGAATTCAAAAAATAGATAGCGATAAACAATCTAGGAAAAATTTCGCATTGAATGGTGGTAGTTTCATGTCGATACGATCAGTGGTTTAGGCGTGATTGAGCCTCAAACGAAGACCATTTTCATTATATATATATATAGATTATTTCTTCAAAAACTATAAGCCAAAATTAAAATTTTTATGATTTTTTTTAATAAATAATTTATTATAGAAAAAAATTTTACTAATAATTCCAAGAAGTTACTGATTCAATTTAAAAAAAAAATTTTTTTTTATCTATAACTTACTAAAAAAAAAAAAAATAAAAAGTATCAAATAGTTACAAATGTAAAGCCTTCTATTTAGACTTTAATTGTAAAAAATAATATATTTATGCAAAGTAAAATTAATAATAATAAAAAGCTTTCTATCACTAAATATAAACATCGATTAGAAACCTTCTAAAAAATAAAACAAAAAAAAACCATCAAATAAAAGGCAAATTACTGTGGAGGAGTCTTGTAAATATTTTATAAATTTAATAATTATTATTATTATCAAATTTGAAAATACATGAAAATCTTTTATATTTATATAGAATTATTTAATATATTTCTTCAAAAACTATAAGCTAAAATTAACATTTTTTAATTTTTATGATTTTTTTTAATAAATAATTTATTGTAGAAAAAAATTTTACTAATATTTCCAAAAAATTACTGATTCAATTTAAAGAAAAAAATATTTCTTATCAGTAACTTACTAAAAAAAAAAAAAAATTAAAATGTAAAGCCTTCTATTTAGACTTAAAATTGTAAAAAAAAAATATTTTATGCAAAGTAAAATTAATAATAATAATAAGCTTTCTATTACTAAATATAAACATCGATTAGAAACCTTCTAAAAAATAAAACAAAAATAAAAAAAATAAAAAATAACCATCAAATAAAAGGCAAATTACTGTGGAGGAGTTTTGTAAGTTGTAGGTGTCTTGAAGGTAAGTATCGAAGGCGTAAGTAAGATAGTTGACAGCGTTAACGTTAAAAAAAGCAAGCATTCGTAGCAGAGTAGAAGCAGAGTGTGGAAGTTTAGCTTTAGGGTAGACGTTTTTTATTTAGTTTGTATGTTATATTATGTGTTATGTCCCCCTTAGTGTGCTTGGAGAACACACACGTGTCCTCATCGTATATCAGGGTCCTGGCTGGTATCGCGGCTCAGCTTAGCCATGTAGTATGTAGTATATAGTATATACAGTATACATTTATACTTATACATAGTATTATATCGCGGTGACCATGAACTTGCTCTACCGTTCGCGAGTCGGTCAGTCATTATTATTGACTCACACGAACACGTACTACTGAGCACACTTGGGTGTGTAAGATGTGTACTCTTTCATATTATACATACGTAATATAAACGCCGAGTACGAGTATGTGTGTCTATGTCCTGCAATCGGAGCAGATCTCAGGCTGGTTAAGATAAATTACACCAACTCGGCATATATTACATTACACATGTGTTGCCGGCGTTGATGAACGAGATGCGAAGACTATACTAGTTTGTCCGTCCTTGACACCTTTGGATTTGACTGGTATGGTGATTTACTTAACTTACATCAGTATTAGTATTAGTTTAGCTTACTGATGGTGAATTGTAATCGGGCGGACAAGAATAAAATTTATTGAGACTTAAAATAACATAAATAATTAATTCACCTTTCAGACTTGGCTTCGAGTCCTCGATCTTGGGCGAGGATTTACAGGTCGGCAGTCGGGAGGGAAATGCGAACATCGCGATGCTCACCAGCATCAGCATCCCTGATATCAGCACCAGACCTAAAAGTAAATAATATTTCAGTTCAATTGTATGGTAATTGAAATTGATAAAAAAATTGTAAAATTTTTTATTCAAGTATTTTACTGAAATTATTGACAATTAATAAGTTACTAGCAACCTTGTAGTCACTATGTGACTTGTGAACTATAAATAAATAAAATTTTGCTTTATTAAATAATGACTTTTGTTAAATTGCATTGTAATTTTTTAACTATTGACGTTTTTAAAGATATAAGCTCATCCCGAGGTTACACTCATCAAGAGCTTTCATTTTAGTACCCACATCAATTTTGCATATATTTATATATATCATATATATGTATATATGAAAAATATATAAAAAATGCATGTGGGTACTCAAATGAAAACTCTTGATGAGT